TGAGGAGGGACACAGGCTATAAATAGCTTGTTTAATACACTGTGGCCAGGACCTGGAAAGCCCCAGCCCGTGCACATTCCCTGCTGCTGGCACTGAGATGGCAGCTGTTGAAAAAGGCCAAATCCAGCAGCTGCTGCCTGGTGCTTCTGGCCTTTCTGCCATGCCCCAGCCCTCCTGCTCCCCTCCTGGGATGGCTGAGCCCATGGCATCCCTTGGGACAGGTGCCAAAGCTTGCCAAGGGGATGCCAGCTCTGTACTGGTGTTGGTGCTACTTCTGGGCTGGTGGTGGCTGCCAGGATACTGCTGGTGGTGGAGAAACAAGGATGATGGAGAGAGGGCTTTCCTCCCTGACAGCCCAGCAGGAGCTGCAGAGCCATGCTGATGTCAGCTGCTGCCCACCCACGTGTTCTCAGCTGTGGCTCTCCCCAGCCCTGGCTTGAGATGCTGTGCCCCTCACCCCCCGTCTCTGCTTGCACAAAGGCCCCTTGTGCCCATGGGACTGACATTCCTGCAGCCGTGGGCCCAGGGCAGAGTGAAGCATAGCCAAAGGGGAGACAGGGCCAGAGCCCGGCTGCCAGGGCAGCTGGTGGGGCCAGCTGGGGATGGGCTGTGGTCCTGGCCCCCCTCCCATGCCTGGGGGATGGACACAAACAGCTGGTGGGAGAGGGGGGACCCCCGGGATGGGCAGGCAGCTCTGGGCTGTGGGAGGTAGGTGCATGGGGTGCAGGAAATGCCACGATATTGGGGAGGAGCAGTGGTGCTGTTCACCCATGGGTGCTGCCTGCCCACCTTATGCACTCCCACTCAACACAGACCTATGGGATAGGTGTGGGAACGGCAGGAATGGGCTGGGCTGCTGTTGCTGGCTAGAGCCCATCACAAGATAAACCCAAAGCAAAGAACAGTTTTGGTCACTTCTGGCCCCTTTGCTCCTTACTTCACACCGACCTCCTCCTTGTTCCCTTTGCGACAAGAGGGATGAGCCAAGCCACTTTTTGTGGCATTAGCTGGCAGCTGGGGACTCCCCCCACCGCCTGCTGACCCCCTGCCTCACTGACCTGCCAGTTGCTGGGGCTAGTGAGGGAAGGGATCTGCCAGCTGGCACCTAGAGGGAGGGAAGGGCCTTCTGGTAAGGCAATGCCAGGGCCACCTGTCATCCCAAAGCCAGAGTGTCACCATGCCCTACAATTGGGCCTGTGTGTGCGTGATGAGGTCCTGCAGCTGGGACAGCAATGACAGCTCTGCATGGTTGCCCCTGTGTTCTGTTCCCACCTGAGCCCTTGTTTTACAGCAGCTTTGAGGTTGCATGGAGGAACAGGAAGCCTGCGCTGGCAAACCCTAAGGTCCCCCCATCCAGTGTGGGGCAGCTCAGCTCACAGAAGGGCTTTTGCTTTCAGCTCTATCTGGCATAGCCACAAAGGCAGCAGGGGAAAACATCCACTTCCCATGGGCCTTACCCAAGGTCACATACCTTGTTTGGTCCCTTTCCAAGGTCCAGAGCTCCAGGTTGCCCTCCACTCCCACCAGCTTCATGGTTAACTCCATCCCATCCAAATGGATCCGCCTTCCCCTCCCCAATCTCCCCTTTAAGAGCAGTGGTCTCTTCCATCCCTCTTACATGGTGCTGCCCTGTATGTCAGCACTAAGACACCTGGCAAAGGAAGAGGCCAGTTTTACGAAGTCCTAGGGGATACAGATCCCCCCCATCCCCAGGGCAAGACCTGCACCTAGTGGTGCTCCTCCACCCACAACACAGGCTGGACAAGCAGCATGACCTGGGCTTGGCTCTGCATCTCATCCCCCCTAGCCCAGACCATGGTGAGCAGAGGGAGGATATGTGTCCAGACAACACGTCTATAACAGATCTGTTTATTCCTGGAGTGCACAGTGAGCAGGGTGAGGAAGCAGAGCTGCCGGGTAGGCAGCAGTGGTTATTGCTGCAGGCACATCCTCCAGTGACATCAGGGGTCTGGGGGAAACTAACTGCCTGCCTCTACATGGCAAAGGATGGGCCCTCATCCACCCCAAGCTGGAGCCACCCTGCTACCCTAGAAGAAGGTGAGGAGAGTGGAGTAGCACAGAGAAGTGCAAATATGTTGGCACTGGAGTCCATCTGCACTGGACAAAGGAGCCCAAGGGAAGAGGAGACTGTAACAGTGTGGGAGGATGAGGGATTGGGAGAAAACACCCCAACTTTGTGCAGAAGAAGACCTTCCCCCAAACCACCACCCCCTCCTCTCTGGAGAAAGGCATTGCTTCTGGGGTGCTGTACCCCCCAGCCCTGCTGTGGGCCATGACAAAGAGTAGCTGTCCCAGGAGCTCCCAGGGATGGGAAGCCAAGCTGCTGTGACGGTGGTGGCATTGCTGTTCCCATGTGGAAAAGAGGAGCTTCTGCTGCTGCACTATAGGGTAGTATGTATTCACGTGGCCCAGAAGCCCCCAAACATTCAGTGCTTGAGTTGTAGAGCTTGACCCAGTGGTGGACATAGGCAGAGGCGTGGAGGTGGAAGAAATGTGTTGAAGGCCACACAGGAAGAGCCAGTAGGCTCCATGCTTTGGTTGCATTTAGTGGTGGTAAGTACAGTGCAAGGGCTTCACAAAATTGAGTATGGCCATTCCTCCTCCCAGAAGGTCACTCTGGCTCCCTGGGACCTGCTGCCTGAGCAAGACAGTACCTGCTGATGCTCTCAGGCATGGGTGCAGAGACAGGCAACATGTACCAGAAGGGATGGGACATCACTAGAGCAAGCGATATGAGTGTCCTCCCCCTCATCCCCCTGCAGTTCCTGCCTCTTCCTGCTCCACAGCTTGCCCCCAGCCTACCATTGTGCAGGAATTCACAGGTACTCCATGCTGCTTGCCCTCCTCCTCTTCTGGGGTGGGAGAGAGGAGCGGGGAGTGGAAAGAAGCCCAGCCCAGCTGAGAAGAAGGGAATCCCTTGCCTGCCTTGACCCCTGGTCCACTGGAGAAGGTGGTGTAAGGCTTGCTGGGAGGCAGGGCTGGTGGCTCAGCGTGGGATGGAGCAAGGGTGAAGAGTATCCATGTGTCCATGGAAGAGTATCCCGTGTCCATGGATCCAAGGGGAGGCACTTGGAGGGGGCCTGGCCCATTGGGGTGTCCCAGCTGCAGTGGATCTGTCATGGCTCCTAGCCGCACATCGTCAGCAGCAGCCACTGGGAAGGTGAGGGAGAAGGAATGAGCAGTGGCTGGTGCATTTTTGGCATGCCCTCATGTGTCAACTTTAACAGCCCTCCAAGAAACACAGGACTTGGAGCAATCC